TAAATATGGATCTTTTTAATTTAACTACGACTTGCCTCATTAAATTTATCTTCAATTGCATTCACTTCGCTTTCAAAGCATTCAATTGGCTTATCTAAGGGTAAGCCGCAAATTACGACACCAGGTACCTATTATTATGTGCATTTAACTAAAGTGTCATATTTCTCTCTTATACACTTAGTTTTCTTAAATAAAACTTACAGGTATTTCAGCTCGGTCTGCAATTCTTGAACCGATGATGACAGGTGACTTTATAGCTTCCACCATTCGCCAAACATTCCAAATACTATAGCTAACGATTAAACTTCCTGTAATGAGCCAAATCAGTAACTTCACCCGTTTTTCTTTAACAAGTTGCATTTCATTATGTACTATCTTAGATTGATATTCGTTCGTAGCCATGTTAGTGTTTTGGGCGAAACTATTTTTCAAATCCGAAACATGAACTTTCTGTTACGCCCTATAAGTACGAAACCATCCGAAACCCTAATTTGGAAGCATTTTGTAGATCAAATTTTGGTGCAACGTCAATTTTTTGTAAATACATGTACATGTATATCGATATTTATAAATTTTCCTGGAATTTTCTTTTTTGATGTTAAAATTTAAAAATAGTTTATTTTGTTGTTATTGTAAACACACAAAATAAACAAGTAAAAACCGGTGGCAAGACAAATATTAAAAATCCAGCACGAGACACTCGTCACTATCGTAATAGTACAATGATTGTGTCATACATGTACTAAATTTTTTGCCTGTCTAGCGCGAGTAAATATTAAACATCGATATTTATTTTAATATCGATATCGATATCGATATACTGTAGTAATCGACAAAAGTGTTCAGCCGAAGACACTAACGCTAAAAAAAATCTAGTAACACAAATGATATCCAACATCCAAAATTAGATCAATCTTTTTATAAAAAGTATTCTTTAATATCCTGCATTACATTCTCTATAAAAATATTGGAGTGAGCAAAGTTAAAAAACGTGTTATATTGGTTTATTTATAAGTAGGTTCAAAAATTGTCATCATAATCATCATAATTAAGTAATCATATGAGCAGGACAACCAATAGAAAGGCAAAAATGATTACATCATAAATCACATGAAAAATAAATATATCTTATTGGTTAGATCATTATTAAATCATAATATCTGCAGTTCTATATTGGCGCAGTATTGGATGACTTGAAAGATCAACCAAATTATCCAAAACTTCGTTCGTAAACTTTGAACGTGAAATTGATCACAATTTCACGTCTGGGAAGATAATGCTAATAATAAAAATGTTGTTCAGGTTCCAAACTAGTTAGTTTCAAGATTCAGGAAATTTGGTTCATTGGTTCACAAAATACATGTATTGTGCAAAATGTTCAATAAATTGAGTGTGTGTAATTTTGAAAAATATTTAGATTGTGCGATATTTTCCGATTATTAGCATTAGATTGTGCATGTAATTGGTGAACTAAATTCAATAACAATAACGATAATGATAAAACTTTTTAAAAAGTAAATCAGAATGCCTGAAGCTACTCAATTGAGTGAGCTAAAAGTAAAATTTTTATAATATTTATTTTTTATAATTTAGCATATTTTTATAATTTTTAAAGAGCTACATCTATACTTCAATCTTGAAAAAACTAGAATAGAACCCGAACAACACTTTTTATTATAGCATTTATCGTGCGTGTTATAACGTGACATTGTGGTCAATTTCACGCTCAAAGTCCACGAAGTTTTGGAAAATTGGTTGATCATTTGTGTCCGAAATGTTATAAAATTTTACTAGGAAGAGTCATTTTTCTTTATAGAACGACCTTTGGTATAGTATAGTAGTTAAAATTAAAATTTATAACATAGCACCATGTTCGTTCATTATTTCAATGATCGCCAAGTGTCTACTTTTTGTTGATCACTGTATGAATACTGTTTCGATATGAAGATGTGAAAACTAGGACTTTCGTTGAATGTTCACACTATATCGATATGTTTAAAGTTTTATAATTCCTTATTAGGAAGTAAATGCAAATTTAGCGATAGTGACACTACGTAGTTACATGTTGTGCCACAAAATGAATAATACGTACAACGTAAACATTATCATTACTATCGCTATTTATATTTTAGAGTCTATTTCAAACCTATCATACTGTGTTACGTCTAAACACTCTAGATAAACTATGCATGACTATGAACTTTTCAATTATACCGATACAGAAAAAAATTTCACTCATGCTCATGAAACTTATGATCAAACAAATGTTTTTTTACAAGTTCTATGGTGCAGGAACTCTTAAATTGACAATAGGTTTCAATTTTAAAATGTTACGTACAACTCAACATAGAGGCAAATTTGCAAAATCTGACCAGTAATTTTGTAGAACTTATGATAAAGTACAAAGTTACCGGTCAGATTTTGAAAATTTATGTTGAGTTGTACTTAGCATCTTAAAATTATTGTTATCGATTTATGAGTTCCTGCACCATATATATAAGCTTTGATCAACAAGACATCCTTTTCATAATGAAGGTTGATTCTTATTGCAATACACAAATAAACAAGCAAAACTGGTAGCAAGATAAATTTAAAAAAATACAACACGCCATCATTATCTTTTGTTTGCCTATTAACTTAAACTCAATATTTATAAGTCGAAACGTTTTGGTTCATAATAATCAAATTATGCGTTAATATTAGGCAATAATATTTTGGAAATTTTTGTGCTTCAGCACAGCTGTCGAAGCTGTTCACAACTTTTATTTGAAATTATATTTAATTCATTATAAATAATGTTTTGACATAAAGTTGATACCATCTTCGGGACTCTATAGTGTGCATTGGTACATGACACCTATAATCAGAACAAATAACTACGTGCTTAATTAGGAAGTTAATCCAAATTTTTATTCATAATAATAAAAGATTATATCTCTATTGATCATAATGATAACTATGGATTGCTTCCTAATTACGAAGTTAAAGAAGTTTAAATATACTGATACGATTTGTATTAAACCATATGAGTAGTGGCATTCTCACAAGACTAACAGTAATTTATTTTTACGTAACACAATGTGATAAGTTTGACATTTAACTAGTTTTTTATACATGTAGCATGAATGACTAAGATATAAATATCATAGCGATAGTAATTTTTACGTTGTAATATTCATTTTGTGGTATATACCACCTTGCAAATGATGTTTACGTTGCATTGTTCATTTTGTGGTATTATTCATTTTGTGGTATTATTCATTTTGTGGTATGACACCTTGCAAATAATATTGACTTAAATATAATTTCAATTTTCCAATGTCGTTTGCAATTGCATGAATTTCAGCTCGTAATTCATTTCTTAAGTGTTGAACCTGTGGGTCATAGTAATCGTTTTCAATAGAGATACCTATTGAATGGTATGCGTTGCCGTATCGATATGATATTTGCTGATTTTTATTTAATGTGTCTGTGTATGGGGAAACGGTTAGTGGAGGTGGAACTGATTTAAGAACCTATTGCGATAGAATTCGATTAACGTTAAACTATTGTCAGTATCATATAGTGAAAGTTAATGCAACGATCCGTTCCTCTGCGGATCCGCTATATATGTTCCAAAGGATAGGCGAATCCACTATCGCTATGTTTATGCGACATTTTTTATAAATAAAATTTCAATTAAACTTACATATCTTTGAACTGCACCCCACGGATCAAGACGTTT